TAATATTTTAAGTAGTTTTTTTTTTTTTTTTTTTAGATACACCTAATTTAGAAATTCTTAAGAAGTATAATATTTTGTATTTTTTTTTAAATTCCCCAAATAGAAAAAAAAATACGAAGATAAAAAAAATTTAGGAATGCTGTAATAAATGTGAATAACGGTGTTTGGTAATACTGTAATAAATATAGGTAAATAGGCAGGTCACTATTAAGTTGTGTTTGTAAATTTTATATAAAATTTATGTTTATATATTATCACTCAATACGAATATGTTCAAATAGAATTTAATGATGGAAAGTTGTACAATGTAATCATGATGATATGAAGAAGAAATAGTAGAAAAAATAACAAAATGGTCATTTAAAAAATTTTAGGGCATGACGTTAGCAATGCATGGAGCAATTTGTAATGAGATTACAAACTTTAGAAAGGAAAGTGTAATTTTTCAAACGTGAAGAAAAAATCTATATTAAACAAAAATCTCAAGGGTATCAATATAATTTACCCTTAAAATTTTGGATGAATACTCATGTGAGTACATTTTAAGGACATTAGAAAAAAATAATTGTTGGGCGAATTATATTTTTCATTCTCACTTTTACTCAAATTCTAATTTAGTTGTAGGGTAGATTATAAATACATCCATAAGATTTGCTTAAAATAAAAATTACTCTTATAGTTCTAAGAATTACAAATATCCCCTTATTAAAAAGATTTATTTTGTAGAATTAACATAAAAAATAAAATTTCTAACTACTCTCTAATACAACAATAAAATTACTTAATTGTTAATTGAAATATATTTATAGTATCATTAAAAACTGTTAATTACTTCATAATTTATTAATAAAAGGAATAATTTGTTATGCTATTAGAAACTTGAAGGGATAGGACGTAATTTTCAAAACCACAAAAGAGCAATCCGTATTTTAAGTAAATCTTACGGGTTGTATTTGTAATTTATCCTTAATCTTTTGTATTTTAAATTTCACACAAATTTTAAATAATGTGCGACAGATGGATCACATTTAAATTTGAGTTGTATTGCAATCACAAGGGAGGGAATCAACGTGAAATTATGAGGGTGAAAGTTCCTTTACCTTATATTAATCAAATTCTGAAGCATTCCCTCCGAAATGTTATTTTCATTTTCATAAAAAAACACATAAATCTGCATTAAAAAAAAAAAATAATGTGTAATTTAGATTTTATTTTAAATGTGTGATCCTCAGCACACTTAAAATATATCTAGAGTATACATTAAAATTTATGTACACTACAAGTAGGATTATTTCATATATTATTTGCATGTTATTTTTTTTAGAACGGATAATATTTGCATGTATGGACCACTAAAATATGGTGTGCAAAAATCCTACCAAAAAGGCCATGAAAATCAAAAGATGGTCACCGGAATCTCGTGCTACCGTCCACATGTGAAAACTCCCGCAACCCTACGGGACCATGCTTCTCTTGGCTGTTGTTGAGCTCTCAGCTCTGATAATGAGCTTTTACGTAAAGGGGTGTCTAGTCATTTCATACTGGATATGTTTCAAAGTTTCTATCTTAATGCACTTTTAATCACGTAGGTGTTTGGTAACGTTTATATTTTTAATTTATATTTATAAAATTTTATAAATTAATTTTTATTTATTTTTAGAAGAACATAAACTATAAACGCGCTTGGTAATTGATAAAATATTTTTAAAAATTTAAAAATATAAAAAAAAAGTGAGAAATAGCAAGTGGTGGCAAGTGGCGGCGGAAGACGGTGGTGGAAAGTGGTGACGGTGGGTGGTGGGTGAGTAGGGGTGGTGGCGGGTGGCGGGTGGTAGCGAGTGGGTGGTGGTGGCGGTGGTGGCGGGTGGTGGGTGGGCTGGTGGTGGTGGCAAGTAGGTGGTGAGTGGTAGTGGCAAGTAGGTGGCGAGTTTATAGGCTTTTTGATTTTTTTAGTAATTTTTTGGCTTTTAGGCTAAAACATCTACTTGCCAAACGAGGCCTTAATATACATATAAATTATTAGCTATTATATAATATTAAAGTAATTTAGATCATTAAATTATATTGGACATCTATTATATACATAATTAACATAGTAGAAAATCTTACATTTTTTATTCTTACTCATAAATTGTAAAGACTACTATAGTCGTATCTCTCTTACATTATATAAATTATTTGTTTTTATGTTATTAATGATTTTCTAAAAAAATTGTAAATAGAACCAAATTTTAACAAATTAATGATTTAGGTGGAAAAAAAAAAAACTGAAAACTCAAAATGAAAACACATTTTTTATATTTCATTTTTTGGCCAAATTTATAAACTGAGACCACTGATTTATAAATCAAAAATTTTACCAAATAAGTTTTTATTTAAATTTTTAAAATTTCTATAAATATAAATAAAAAATTAAAAACATAAGTGTTATCAAACCGCACCATAATAATCATAATCAAAATTTTGATATTTTGAAATTCTTATCACAGTTGTTATTTTATAAAAAACAAAAAAGATACTAAAACATTGTTGTTAGTCTTAGTCTTATAAATGACAAAGTACTGCATATTTTAAAAATATTTTTTAAGAATAATGCTTGGGACCCGTTTTTGGGGTCACTCCCTCACCCCTTTTGTCACGTGGCGGGTGGTGATTGGAGGAGGAGGAAAAAAAAGAAAAAGAAAAAGAAAATGTAACCAATGAGAGAGAGGGGGTCAAAGGGAGTGGGAAGAAAATGGAGGATGAATTATTGTTAATTTTTTAATATGTAAAATGTACTTTAAAGTTCCCATCACATTATAAGATAGGGAGAGTGTGCAGAACATAGAGACATGAAAAATTTCGTCCTAGTAAATAAATAAATGTCCGTTTGGAAAGGAATAATTTGGCTATTTTAATCACAAAAAATAAAAAAAGTTATTTTAATCACAAAAAATAAAATATTACATTCAACTCATAATCATTACACTTTTTTCTCACAAAAAAAAGTCAAAAAAATTAAAAAAACTAAAAAACTCTTCCTAAACCAGACTTTTTAACCCAGACTAAAATAGCCAAAAAAATCAAAAAATCAACCCACTTCCCAAAACAACCCTAAGCAAATCACAAATAAGAAATAAACAAGTGGGTTCAAGCTGTACACATATGGAACCCACCTCAGTTTTTCTATCAGTTATATAAAAATTTCCTACATCTTATAATTACAACATATTTAACTACAATCATATTACGAAAAATAAAAGAGAGAAACGAGAGCGGCTTAAGAATAGTATGACTTATATTTAGGGCTAGTTTGGCATGTACTAAATAAGCTAAAAAGTTAAAAAGTCACTATCTTATTTAAGTCACATCATCTTATTTAAATCACATCACCTCTCTAACACATCACATCAAACCCAACCCAAACCCAACCCAAACCCACCAATAAGTCAAAAAGTACACTTTTTTAGGACATCCCAAACCAACCCTTAATTATAATCATATACATTTTAAAATAAAAATATATATTTTAAGGAATTGGTTGAATCATAAAGACTCGAGGATAAAATATAAATCTCAAATTTTAGTCTTCTTAAAGGCCATTTAATAAAAAAATATATTTTAAAGGATTGACCAAGTCATAAGGACTCCCGGATAAAATCTAAATCTCAAATAGTCTTTTAAAGGGCAATGAAAGTTTACCTAGTCATTGGTCCTGTTTGATAGAATTTATTTCTAACTTATTTCAGTTTTTAATTTAATTTAAATTATTTTGATGTGTTTGGTTCAGCTTAACAATACAACTTTTATAAGTCAAAAATCAGCTTATGTTCACAGCTTTAAGCTATAAGCTGTTCGGCTATAAGTTATAATCACTTTCCTACAACTCTATCAAACGGGGCCATTAAGTTGTAAGACGTAGTTCTCAGTCGTCCAGATAGATCGAACCTAATCAAGTGGACTAAATATCAAGTATACTAGTAACATTATCATAGTGTGGGGATATATTTTTGGATTTGTCCACGTGGCCTAAATGGTTAGTCAAGGTGCCACATGGGTGGTCTTGGATTACCGAGATATGGTATGACCATATTAGAGTTTGAGATATTCGAATAAGGAACAAGAGTCTTAATAATATTAAACTGCCTATTTGGATAAGGATGTACTCAAGTTTGTTTCAATCTAAATAGGAAGAGTCTTGATAAGTGATATTCTTATAAAGGATATATAGTCTTATAAAGTAAAACTTCTAGAAGACGAGGGCATTGAAGTCACCCATAGGTCTAAGGTATGTTTTACTTTGTGAGTTTTGTGATTGAGTTGTTATCTTTGAGAGATAAGTTGACTGACTTGATCGTCGAAGTGCTCCTAGGTGGACGAGCCACCGGTGTTTGTTGTTTTCTTATGTGCAAGTGTTGGGTTTCTCTATCCTGCTGCTTGCTCTTTGCCTTTGTTCCTTACATCTCGGAGACGAGATTAGATTGATTGTGACGTTAGATTTTAACACTCATACAGGGATGTTTTGGAAAAATGGCTAAAAACTGAATTTTTAACTTTTTTATTTTTCTATGTGAAAGGAAATATGACCCAAAATAAATTAAAATCTGACTTCTGACTTTTTTTTTGTATATTCTCAAATGGCCCCATAATATCATTAATCAATAAAAAATTACCATTATTATTTTGTTATTGATAATATTGCCACATAATATAACTATATTATTTACTTAATTTATTACAATTTTGATACAAGTAATGTTAGGGATCATAAAAAAAAATGTTATTAAAATCATCATGAAAAATTTTTCATCTTTGGATTACACACACAATAAAACACTATACACAAATCAAATAATGAAAAATCTTCGTAATAAATTTTATGATATTTTTTTTCATGATCCCTAACATTACTCTTTGATACACTGGCTGGCTCAAAAACAACTTCAAAACAGCTTCAAGAAAAGGGTAATATGATAATTGTACAAGGCATGAGAGAAACAATCCTGTATTTAAAAGGAACACAAGCCAGAGGTAGTTGCCTTATAATGGACCAACCACCACCACCACCATGCAATGAAGACGACCAAACGACGTCATCGGACACCACCACCACCAGAGACAACTGCCGTAACACCGCCGCCGGCACAAGGCACCCAGTGTACCGCGGAGTACGAAAGCGGCGGTGGGGCAAATGGGTTTCCGAAATCCGAGAGCCCCGCAAGAAGTCCCGAATTTGGCTAGGCTCTTTTCCGGTGCCGGAGATGGCTGCCCGTGCGTACGACGTGGCGGCGTACTGCCTCAAAGGAAGCAAAGCTCTGCTCAATTTCCCCGACGAGATCGAGCTCTTGCCGAGGCCTTCGAGTTGCGCCGCTAGAGATATTCAGGCAGCGGCGGCAATGGCGGCGAAGTCTGTGGCGGCGGCGGCGGCGGAGAAGAAGAAAAGCGGCGGCGCTTCGGACAGTGACGGCGGAGATGATGATGATTTCTGGGGTGAAATTGAGCTGCCGGAGCTGATGGAGAGTGGTGGTGGGGGTGGTAGAGAGGCTTGGACTGAGAGGAGTGATTATTTGTCCGAGGCATGGTTCCGGGATTCTTGTGATGGGGCTTTCGCTGGTGATGCCACGTGGGTTGATGGATAAAAAGTAAAAAAAAAAATTCAAGAACACAAAAATGGATCACCGAACCGTACAAAACATTCTCAAATAAAGTGAGCCTTGTTATTTTCATTTTTGTATATATGTACTCATATAAAAGATTGTATTTAATTTCTGTACAAATAAAACAACCGTTCTCTTAAATGCATAATTTGGCATTAATGGTGTATCATTAGAGGTTCATTTTATATGTTGGATAAATTACATGCACGCCTCTTAATGTTTGTCTTTAATACAAGTATTCTCTAATTAGATTATATTTTCCACTCAAAAATTTAAACTTTCATTATAATTTAATTTTTTCGTTAGTTAACTGTTAAGTCAATTAAAGGAAAAAATTAATATAAGAAATTAATTTTAAAAATACATATTATACCCTTGTTTGCATTTATAAAATTGACAAACAATTTACTGTTTAAGAAAATTTTATATGCCTCAGTCGTGGTCTTTAGTTAATACCTATTATGGTATTAATTATAACATTATTTTGATGATGATTCAAAAAGTATTTAATTATATCTTATGTGGTGTTTAATTAATTCTATTTTTTTTTAATTATGACTGAAAAGAATTTAATTATAATATTTGTAATAATTAATACCACAAAAGCTTATGTACCATAGTATTATCTATATGTTTGATCGTTTAATAATATATGTAGCAAATGAATTTTTGTAATTCTTTGCTGATTTTCTTTACTCATCTAGTAGAGTTTTTTTTAAAAGTTTTTTTTTAAAATAAGAATAAAATAGGCATTTAAAAATATTAATTTTTTCCGTTAATTAACTTAATGGTTGACTAACATAAGAATTAAATTGTAATGAAAGTTTAAACCTTAAGAAGGAGAATGTAATTTTCAAAACATGAGATGATTACTTATATTAAAGACAAACTTCAAGGAGTGTCAAGTGTGATTTACCCTTATACATGTATATGTATACTAACCTATTGGTTGTAATAGTCATTAATAGGTACATCTATGACTATTAGTACTGTATTTGTAATTTCTTCCCTCTCGTGTTTCAATGTTGATAATTTGTCATACAAATTTTCCAAATTATTCTTATTTATACATGGGCTAGTTCGGTGTGTCTTGGTTCTATCATGGAGTCACATTTTAAATATTAAAATTTGTTTATTTGTATAATATTTGTGTTTATGATTTTACTTGGAGTTGGCATAATAATTTGGATATTATAATGTTTGTAACTCTCTTCCCATACATGCATACAATTATGGTTGGATGGCTCAAAAAATGGAAATCTTATTTTTAAGAATTAGATATTTCGTAGTTTAATACGTAATCTTATGTAAGTTTTTGAATAATTCATAAGACAACAATTATTAAAGAGTTTATCTTTTGGATAATCTCTATCAATGGTGTTATATACACATCTATTATTATTATTTTATTCTTTGATTTCACTTGAAATCTTGAGTATAATTGTTAAAATGTATGGAATGAAAGATTGTAAAATGGTGACTGTGAGAGAGTGATGAGTGATGTGAGAGACGAGAAGGTGAGAGCTTTATTTCGACTAAACCTTCTTCCTAAGTTCAAAGATTTATAGTGTCATGTTTTAAAAATAATTTTATCTTCAACTAAAAATTATCATAGTATCCTTATGTTTTTTTTTTTTTTTTTAATTGTAATCTCCAAACTATCAAAATGGTCGGCCACCACACAATTTATTGGTCTACAATACTAATAAATGACGTGGATGCTTTATTTAGTGTCAGGTGTGACACACTAATTAATACTTTATTTTTAATAAGTGAATTTGAGGTAGTATTTAGTTTACTGCAATGAAAATAAAATAAAATGATCATTTTATTTTTATATTTGATTTCCTAAAAAATGATAAAATATATATATATATTACAAACGAAACATTCTTCTCTATTATAAAATAAAAAAATAAATAAAAAGTAATTATGTAAAGAAATGAGTATTTTATTCATTATTCCACCCATATTTTAGAAAATCAAACACAATATTAGTATTAAAGATTTGTATCATTAATTTTAAGACTTCATAATTAATCAATGTACATGCAAATTAATGCGGACACCCAATTATAGAAAAATTTTAAACTTTTTTTTGGATAATATCACCATTATGGTCATTTTTGGTAAGCTATACACAAGCAACTACACCTCACAATGACTCGTGATATTAGTTGGTCTTGCGATACCATCACGTGGTACTTTAATAGTATTGTGATTGGTAGAGGGAGTGAGACTCACCATCTATGATTTAAGGCAATGCAATAAGTGAAGGATTTTGAATAGTATACTACTTTGTACATTTTCCATACAAAATATGAATGGTAAAAAAATATAATTGTTTAATATTTTGTTAATTGCTTTTTTGAGCTGGTGTTACACATACTAATGACTATACTAATTAGTAGTTAATCTGTGCAATGAACGGGCTAAACATATTTGTTTTAAAATATTTTTTTTTATAAAATTTAGTTAAATTATTTATATTTTTGAATATATAAAATATTTAAAACAATCGTTAAATTGGAGAAAAAAAGAAGCAATAATTTAAAATTTAAATAATGATTCCAATATTTATTTTAATAATTTTAGTTGTATCATTCCATAAAAGCGTTACTTAAATCAACACATATATTAATTTTAAATAAATTATTTATATGTATTTTAGTAATTTTATCTCTATCGTCTTATAAAAATGTAACTTACATATATATATATATATATATATATGTAATAAATTTCATAAAAATAAATATTTTTAATATTTAAAAAGAAAAAAGTAGAATAAAATTAATTGGTAAAATATTTTTAGTCCTAAAGTTTTGTTTATGGGTAATTAGATTAAGTATAAGTTTTTTAAATATTAAATTTTAGAAAGAATTTTGAGAAGGTATTGATATGTAATCTCAATAAAAGGAAAAAGAAAAAAAAAGGAGATGCGCTACATAAAAGAGAGAAAAAAAGTTAAAGGTAAACAAATTTTTTTTTTTTTATTTTGATAACTTTAGTCCTATTGTTTTATAAAAGTCTTATTTAAATCAACACATAAAAATTTTAAATAAATTATTTGTGTATATTTTAATAATTTTAACTCTATCATACTACAAAAATATAAACTAAATAAATATGTATAATAATTTTAAATTTTGTTAAATTATAAGACAAAAAAAAAAAAACAAATTCATTTAAAAAAAACACATTCATTTTATAATTTTAACCTTTCATGAAAAAAATGTAACTTAAATAAATATAGATATAATAAATTTATATGATATTAAATTATAACTTAATATTAGAAATAATTGTTATAAAATTAAAAGTGATTATAATTATTTAATAAATTTAATATAATTAATATTATAAATAAGATAGGCATAAAAATAAGAAATAATTTTAATATTTTATTTAAAAAAAGTGAAAAAAGTAAAATAAAAGTAATTTGTAAAGTGCTTTTAGTATGTATAATTCTATTAGGTTTTGTTTATGGATAATTTAAATTAAGTAGAAATCTTTTAAATATTAAATTTTAGAAAGAATTTGGATAAAAGAATATATTGATGTGGCATTTTAACAAAGAAAGAAAAAAGAGGAGATGTGCCACATAGGAGAGAGAAAAGTTGAGAACAAATACTACTTTAAATAATATATATATCTATATAATAAGTTACAAAGGTTTTTGAAAATGTCTAAAATGTATGTGAGATACATTTTGATTCAATGGCTTAGATGGATCCTAAGTGTATATGGATGGTTTAGATCAATAGGTGTTCCCGCCCAACACAGTTCATTTGATTTGTCTGTGTTTATATCAGTATCTACTCTCTGTCTCCCCCATACCATGTGTCTACCATCTGTCTTCTCATACCCTCTATCTACCTTCCCTCTCTATCTCCTTCTCTGTCTATTGTCTGTCTACCTTCTCTCTCTACTTCCCTCTCTGTCTACCATCTGAATTCCTTGCTCTGTTTTTGTGTTTTTGAGTTATACGGGTGAGTTATACGGTTTGGATTTGGATTACACGGGTGATATACATTTTATTATGGTGTGTGCAGATTTGAGTTATTATGGTGTGTGCAGATTTTATTGGATTACACGGGTGATACAAATCAAAAGAAATTCTGCACAGTTAAGAAATTCTGCAAATCAAAAGAATTTCTGCACAGTTAAGAATTTCTTTCCAGCAGTTAAGAAATTCTAAGAAATTCTGGATTACTTGAATTCAAATTCTGCACAGACCAATCATTTCACCATCTTCTTCTTGAATTTTTTTTTTTCCTCTCTCAGCTTTTGCCTTCATCAGAGCTTCTGTGGATCACTCTGACCACTCTCAAGGCTGTTCACTCCGACTGCGACATCACTTCGGCTGCTCGACATCCTGCTCGGTTTGTTTAGAAAATATTCAACAGACCACCATACTTCTATAATTATATCTGTGTATTAGTATACTGGTATAAGCTTCTATCTGTGTATTCACTATAACAAAAAGTAGTTTTGGGGACCAAAAATGTAAATTTCGTCGCTGAAAGTAGGACAATTGGCGACTAAAACAGTTTAGTAGCCAAATGTATACTTATTGGCGACTAAAAATCAGATTAGTCGCTGATTACATGGGTTTTAGCGACTAAAATAATTTTAGTAGCCAAAAGTGAAGGTTTTTGGCGACTAAAAAAAATTAGTAGCCAAAGGTATAGGTTTTGGGGACTAAAAAATGGTTTGGTCGCCAATTGTAGGTGTTTTACCGACAAAAAAAAATGTTGTAGCCAAAAGTAAAGGTTTTTGGCTACTAAAAAAAATTTAGTAGCTAAAAGTGGACAATTGGCGACTAAAATTGAGTTTAGTCGGCAAAAGTGGCAGTTTTGGCGACTAAAAATCAGTTTAGTCTCCGAAAGTGGTTATTTTTAGGCAGAATTAATTTTTTTGCGACTAAATTATTGGGTAGTAGCCAAAACTAAGGTTTTTGGCGACTAAAAAAAAATTTAGTCGCCAAAAGTAGCTTCCTTTTTTTTTTAATAAATAATTTATTTTTTACATAAATTATATTGAATAAAAAATAATTATGTTTATATATATAGTTTAATATTGATACGGGTCAATATAGTATATAAATAATATATTTTGCATACATATTCATGTGGTGGTATTGTGGCATAGTGGAGAGAGTGT